TATTTTATTTTATATTATTTCATTTTATATTTTATTTTATATTATTTCATTTTATATTTTATTTGATTATATTTGATTGTATTTTATTTACTTGGGTTAAATTTTTTTATTATAGTTTATTTTGTTAATTTTTTAACTTTTTAAATTTTTATTTACATTATTTATTTTATTATTTTTTAAACTTTTGTGGTTGTTATTGTTTTAGTTACACAATCGTTCAACCGTTGTCATCAAAGATAGGTCCTAAAAAGTACTCTTTCGACGGGTTCTGGCCAAAGGGAAGGAGGTGTTACCTGAGTGGAGTTAAAGAGGCAAGTGAAGAGGTGATTCGTGGTATGTTGAGTACTTTCAGAATAGGTAGGAGTTAAGTATGCTACATTTTCAAGTCCTCAGTTGCGATATCCGGTTCTGTACTTCATTGACAATTTCGGTTTCGTATGCGGAGGAGGAGAAGGGGAGCAAGCTGGAAACGTTAACCCATAACATTTTCGAATTGTTGAGCTTGACCTCCGTCCTGGTAATAAGAGGAAGTACAGTGCAGAGAAAAAAACGGAGAAATAGCCGTTTCCTTTCATACAAAAATGAAATTGCTGGACGCCAATATCAAGCAATCGCCAACGTCGGAGATCAGCGAGACTTCACTTGAGGAATCTTCGAGATATAGACTGATGTGCACTTTACGGAAGCCATGTTGATACATACGTAGCGGCGGTCAGCTTGCACGTAAAGTTCACGAGTAGTAGAAGTATTTACACCAGTAAGGAAAGCAGAGTTATTAGTTAGTTTGTTAGCTGCTCTCCCGTGTTTTAGTAGTAGGTTCACGCTCCCAGACTTAGCGAAGTCGGGTATGATTGAGGACTTTAATAAGGTACTTTACTCACTCTGGGCCGAAGTGCCTTAGGATAAAGAAGAATATTCCGTTGGCACCAATGGCTTTGGAGTCTTTTGAGGCTTTTACCTTCGGAATGGCTACCTGAACTTCAACCTGGCAAGAGTTAGGTTGTTAGCACGTTTGACCTTATACAGCGAAGAACGCAGTGTGCACTGCTAATGAAAATGGAGTTTGGATGGAGCCATCTCTGGCAAACGCAGTAGAGTAGATTTTTGGCCCGAAATCGGACTCGATGTCATTCCGAAGCATAATGATGCGGGTAGACCCCGTAGCAATTGGCAGAGTACACCGCATTAGCATAAAACTTCATTATAATTAATTTTTGTTTTTTTTTTGTCTCAGAATTATTATTATTTTTTTCATTTTAACTTTCTTATTTTTTTATAATACGATTTTTTTTTTTAATTAATTTAATATTTGGGCATATTCTTATTTTCGTACGAATCGAAAATCACTTTCCTATCATTTTCTATACAAAAATTTCAAATTTTCGATTCGTACGAAAACAAGAATACGCCTTTTAATAAGTTTATATATTTTTTTTATTACGTAATTTTATTGTATCTGTTAGTTAGTTTTATATTAATTTTTTGATAAATTTTATTATTATTTTTAAAACTAATTTTATTATTTTTCTAATTAATTTAATTTGGTTTTAAGTAAACTTTTTTATCAATTCTATTTTTATTATCTTTTTATTAGTACTTTTTTATTAGTGCTATTTTTTTATTAATATTATATTTTTATTAATATTGTTTTGGTTGTATTATTTTTATTTTTTATTATTATCTTTTTTATTAATATTATCTTTTTTATTAATATTATTTTTTTAATTATTTTATTATTTTTATTTTTTCGCCGCCTATGTTAGTATGAATTGTCCAATATTATAGTTAGGTTTGTTTACTTTTCAATTTTCCTCAATTTTTAACACTCTATAATCATTTTATGTAATAGAGATGTTTCAATGTATTTTTTTTTTTTAATTTTTTTAATTTTTTACAAAATTTAAGTTTTTCATTACTGTTTGCATTTTAATTAATATATTTCACATGTGTTTCATGTTTTATGAAATGAACGTAGCATATGAAATTCCCACTATATCTTTTATTTTGATCGTTTTCATTTTTCTCCATCAATGGTGTTGCATTTGTCTATATTTTTTCATTTGCCCATATTTTGTAACTAAAACTAAAACTAGTTGTTCATTTAAGAAACTTTGTTAAATAAAAACTGGAAATGCAATTTGTATTAGACACGTAAAAATACTTCAACATCACCCGCCAATGGATTATTTTTATAACAAATACAAGAATATTACACCTTGGTTACGCTACTAAAAGTAAAATTATAATTTTTTTTTGTAATTTAGTTTAAATTTTAGCAAATTCACAATGAAGATTACAAAATTGATGGACGAGCGAGCGGCGGGTGGGGCGGCAAGCGGAGCAATTTAGTATCGATAAATGAGCAGCATTATTTATTTATTTAAATTTCGTTTTATGTGTAAATATTTATTTTTTTAGTGTGCATTAGAGGAACAATTTGACAATGTAATTTAGCGCATGGTCATACATGTGTGTGTGTGTGAGTGTACTATATATATGGCTGTGTATTTTTCCTTCATAAAAATGCAAAAATGCCACAATCAATCATTGCAATGTGTTTTTGAAAATGCCGCTATTCTCATTTAATTTTTGTTTGCAGTTTTCACATCAATATTTTGTTCATAAAACCAATTTTGCTTCAGACGACGACTTCAAGCAGAACTTGTGGTGAGTTTCGGGCTTGTGAGTGTGGGTGTATTGCAAAAAAAAATAATGTGTAGTTTACAAGAAGTGGAATAGTTCCTTCCAGGGGGTTTATGCATTTTCTTGGTTTATTATAAATTTAGTTATATATATTAAAGATAAATAAAAATAAAATCAAGCAAATGTTAAGACAGTGAATGCACTGAGTATTGACTATATTTTTAGTAATAAAAAAACATCATTCGATTATACAAGGTGTTTCAACAATAATCTTTATTTTAAATGCTTAATGGAAGAAACCATGGGTCGAAAATCAATTTGAAGATTGCCAAGTTGCGAAAATTGGTTTCTTAGCATTTTTCTGTAGTTGCGACACTAAGTGCTTAAATTTTGTAAAAAAAAAAGATGCTATACGCGCTTTTTTGGTATGAGGAATCAATTTTTGCACTTATATTTTTCTTAAACTTCTACCATGGAAATTATTCTTTAGGCATATGGTCTCACTATAGGCTATCACCAAATAACTGGGAAGGTGGCACTGGGGTCGCAATATTTCATTTTGTTAATTTTCAGAATATATATTTGTTGGTGGGGTCGAAATATGTATTGAGAAAACCCGTATTTATGGCCGGATTTTTTTCGTATAGGAAACTTTTATACATACATATTAAAAAATACTTTTACGAAAAATGGAGCGCCAGATGGCGCTGGGATCGAGATATTTTGAAAATCCATATTTATTGTACGATCTAGTTGTCAGTCACAAGAAGTTTTAGTTTTATGAAAGACATGCTTCCACAAAAACATATCCAGGGGTAACGGGTGTATCCAGAAGAAATATCTGCCATTCAGGAGGCAGCACAGAATCGCGCTCAGATATCTGGAGAGAACAAACGAGTCTTTAGATTCTGTGTCACGCAACCTTCAAAGCCCATACACAATGCAAATTCCGGTCCTGAATTTAACAGGTAACACTTTCACACTCTCACAGGTGGAAATAAGAAGGATAATATTCGTATTCGATTCATTTGCTAAAAAAAAATACTCGGCATTAGTAAAGTTTTACGAAAAACACTTCTGCTTAATACCTTTACTCATGGGAGTAATGAAAAAGCTACTTTGCGGAAGAGAAGTTCAGTGATCGTGATGAATTTAAATTTATATCAAATAAATATGGACCGAAGGCATAGCTTTTACTTCAGACTCTGAACTTGAAAATAAATTTAGCGACAGCGTGTATTCAAACCAGAAAGGAACAAAAAAGTCCTCCTCCTTTTGGGGTCAAAGAGTTTTTCTGGAAGGTCATTTAATAGAAGTCCCACGAGAAGAGCAGATTCATCAGCTTCCCTAGGTAATAGATGCGTAGGTTTGAATAGCCATGTAAATATATGGTTTCTGTGATAAGATCTCTCTCCACATACATGACATACTGTTGGTATGTCTGACTGTTTAAAATGTAGCCCTCTATAGTAGTATACAAAACGAAGCTGTTCTTCGGAAAATTTCTTGGGACTTGCTAGGTACATCTTTCTCTTTATCTGCAAGAGATTGGGCTCCTATGCCGTTGTGAAAAATGGTCAGAACAAATCTGTAGACCGCAGCATTCATGGTTATTTTATGAAGAGTTCAGCCTTTTCGGTATATGGAACGGGTTATAATTAAAAATCTGCGCAATTTTTAATTTTTTTTTTTCAGTTTAAGTATGATTTGCCGACCAATTTTAGAGTTGTACTGTAACCATAAAAGTCATGCTTGCAAAAAGGTCTGAAGGGCCCTAAATATGTCATAATTATTTGCTTAACTCCGAATTGGCTTAAAGAAGTTGATAGGAAGGTATACAACGTGGTTTTTCACGCTTGCCGGGCTATCAGGTTATCGGTTTAAAAATAATTTTTCTGTAGTGTATTTTATTGTTCTACATCAACAAAGTACACTACGGCAAAATTATTTTTAAGCAGATAACCTGATAAACCACATTGTGATTTTCTCCCGTTTTCGTACACACCTACCAGCGGCAGCTGACAAAGCACCAATTTAAGTTAATCAATTAAACCTATTCTTAATAACGTAAATTAACTAAAAAATATGTATGGAATAAATACTAAGAGCTCTCAGAATTTTAATACTTTTTTTTTTAATTTGTGAAGATTTTTAGTTCCAAGAATGGTCGCTACCCAGCAGGTCTGAAGTATTATTTGAGGAGCTCGATGCGGCTGTGTACTTTTTTTAATGATAGCAGTTGCGCAGGAGGAGAAGGTGACACCTAATATGGGTTGTTTGTGATCGGAATTGATATATAGTGCATTGCTTTGCGTGACCTTCGACGTCGTAAGGTCGATTGAGTAGGTAAAAGGCTCGTGAAAAAGCAGTCGCAAACTATCCTCCAGTAGCGTTGTGTAGTCCAATGCGGTTGACAAGCTATGCGTCATTTGGAAAGGCTCTCACACGCTCTGTTTTGGTTTATCAGGTTATATATCCACCTTTTTGCGCGAAATTATCGTATGTACCAGAAATCAAATTTTACAGGAGAATACATGCGCTAATTATACGCGGTTTGGCGGTACCGTGCAATCTATGTTGATGCGACGCTGGCGTATGAACGTCCGGAATAGCAAGGCTTTACCTGTCCACATTAGGGACAACGCCAATTAGAAAAATATGGCCACTGACAATTTTAGATTTTTGCGATTCATTTTTGCATAAGTTTCAATAGTTAGTTTTCTGTTTCTTACATAAACGATGAAAATTGTTGAAACACCCTGTTGCTGTCTAGAAAAACTAGTAACAAATATATCGTATATAACATAAGGGAAAAATTAAAATTTGGAGTTTAAATTTATCCCATATGTAATTTCAATCTTCTTTGTCTAATTTCATGTTAAGTAAAAACCAATTATTAAATCCATTGACCTATTAAAATCTTCTATTAAATCATATATATAAATAGTTTTTGTACGAAATTTTATTAATAAATTAAACTGTTGTCGGTTATTTTCTGAACCTAGGAAAGGATTTACATACTAACGAACCTTTGTCCTAAATACGGGGTACTCTCAAGTCAAATCTTAGCACAACATAAATCTATACAACATAGAAAATTAAAGATTTTCTTGCAACACAAAAAAAGAGATCTGTGTATTTGCAGACGATTTGACAAATACCAAAAGGTGTAAATAATCAAAATTAGACAAATTAATTTAGGAAATTCAAAAAAATTCTTTAGCACCACTCACAATAAATGAGCAGTATATTGTCGGTAGTAAAAAAGAGAATACGAATAAAAAAGAGCATTAACTTCAATAAATCTTTATCAAGTCCCCTCTAGCACATACCTCTGCACCGATTTTTCGCAATTGTTCGCGCAGCTTTCGTATATTCGCTTCGGAAAGTTTATAGCTCGGATCGTTGGTATCACCTTTCAGACGTTCCAAATTCAGTTTCTCCTGTTCCAGCATCTTTTGTAGTGTTTGTATTTTATACGTTTCCATTTCACGACGTTTGATGCTCTACAAAGGAAGACACAATTTAATTAAATGTCTTTGTTGTAGAAAAGTAAAAATATATATGTATATATATTTTATTTCATCTTTTAGTTTACATCAACCGGTTGTGGGCCTGTTATGGATGCAGTCCGATCACGTCCCGATAGTATGGGTGTAGAGGGTACTATGCCGACAGATGAGGGGCGTGCCAACTTTTGACTACGTTTCACCGCCAATTCAACAATGGTGGAGGCTGGAAAAGAAAGAAAGTACGTTAACAAGATACTCCAAATTAAAATTTAATAAAGTTGTAATATAAATTTTATAAAATTATAATTTTTAACAGAATAGAACATAGCGCAGTAGGTTCGCAGCTTAAACAAGTGAAGTCATAAAAAGAAATCCTCACAGCGAATTCGGTTTCAAGACCGGGGGGCTGGTTCCTGCAGAGTTGAGTATAGAAGGCTGGTAACAGACGTACACAGAACATCAAAAATGCGGCAAAAAAGCCACAAACCCTTCGAAGCCGACGATATAATGACTGAACTTTACAAAACCGGCGGAAAGCTAGTCTGATGAATACATGCCCATAGGATGCACACCACTGCATTTCTGTGTTCCAGCAGAATCAGTCATCACTATATTTGGAGGGTTGTCACGTATTTGAAAAATCAAATTCAACTTAACTCAACAGTTAACTGAATTATGTATCCCAATGTCTGACTAAAGAGATCTAAAATTTTAGTTAAGAAAAAATCTGAAAAGGGTTGCCACTTGTTTGAAAGGTCAACTTAAGTTAATTTAAAATCAGGTATATATATTATATATTTAACTATGAGTGGCAAACGAAAGTTTAGTAAAAACTCTAGTTTGAAAATATTTTTGATATATATTTCTAGCTAAATATGTAGATAGTATGTATACTAGGGTGGTCCAAAAATGCATGTGAAAAAGTAAAGTAGAATTTTTTATGCTCTCACCCCCTAGGTATGTTCTATACCGAAAAAAGTATAGCCCCATTTCTTACTTAATTGTTTATTTAACCATTTTTTCATCGCAACTGTAATTTATAGGTCCGCAAAAAAACCACAAAAACCCCGAAAAATGCAATGGGAGCACCAATAAAAAATCTTTACTAAAAAAAATGGTTAAATAAGCATTTGGGTATTATTAATGAAAGTCTCCTGAAGAGAACCAGAGTTTTCCGATCGAAAAATTTTGATTTTCAAGAATTCTATACCATTTCTACGAAAAGTTGTTTTTTTCTCATATAAAAATACATGGAAAACTTTCAGCGCTTTGAGCGACCTCTAAATATCTTTTGATTTCAAAATAAAAAAATTAGGGCATACTTTTTTCGATATAGAACAAGCCCTGGGGGTGAGGGCATTACAATTCCGACTTTACTGGTTTTAGACCACCCTAATGTATACATATAAATAATACGCGGGGCCGTTTTTATGGAGATCATCATATCTCCATCGTTCTTTTGAAATTCAAAAATGAGATGTTAAATTAAAAAGCTTGGCCTATAGCTGTGAAGTAGGGTTTTATTTTTTGAAGTTAGGACTATTTTACATATTTGTACAGAGTGATTCAAAATGAGAGAAGCCGAGCCATATGGGACTTCTCTCCATGGAATTTACTGGGCGGTTTAGAGGAAATTCGGCATACGGATAGCTTATAACTGTGACATTTGGATTTTGTTTGTTTGTTTTTGAAGACGTTTCCACCTCTTTAAAATGTTAAATTTATTTTTTAGCGTTTTAACGCCAAGCAGGCTAACTAGTAATATAGTAATGCGGGTAATAGAGAAATAAGAAGTTTCACTTCAGTCGCGCGTAGGATTCACACACAACTTTTTTTAGTACTGCGATCACCAAGATCCCTCTTCATTAGGTGGATTCACGCTAAGTGCGTCAAGGAATAATTTAACAATCTTCATCTTTTAGCAGCGAGAAATAAAGTAGCGCTGTGCTGGCCACCGGGTCATTCTGGTATCGAAGGGAATGAGATGGCCGACGAACTAGTGGGAGAAGACTCATCATCCGTTCTCGTAGACCGGAATTATTTTATGCATTTAGTTGTTTTTCTTCAAGACAAGGCGTGGGCAAGCTTAGAAGGCAGTAAGTACTGGGAAACAGTAGTTAAGCTCTCTGGATATCCTTTCGTCAGAAAAGGACTTAATTTTCTAAAGAAAGCTGACATCAGGTTGCGCGTATCGAACAGACCATAACTGCCGGATCCCCCCACACAGAAGGAAAGCCGGCTATGACAAAGCTAATACACTTCAACTTGTCTAAAATCGATCCTTTAAGAATGAGAAAATGGTCCACTATCAGGATACTTTTACCATTCATTAGAAAAGCTGACAGTATTTTGTCCTTCATCGGGATACCAAATATCTTCTTGGTCTGAGAGTGCCTTATTGTGCCTCAACAAAATTTATATCTAACTTTCAAATAAATGAACCCAGAAGAACCTCCAAATTCATTTAGGATAAATTAACGAAGCGCATTCTCCCCTTATGTTGCACTACAATGACTCTAAAATTAATTGTGTGAACTAATTAGAAATATTTCAGAGCTCATCATTCAAGTCGTTCAAGTGCCTTGTCGGCACACTTGTGAGAGTAGATAATTATGTCTGTATGTGTGTTTATATGTAAGAGTTAATATATGAATTCAAGCAGCCATCTATGAGCATAGGCGTTTTGTTTTATCTTTCCATTGGCGTTACAAATTTCTTGATAAAACAATTTACAATTAATTTTTTTTTAATGCTTGACAAATATATCTGTGTTCGTATGGAAAAGTAGCGTATGTCGAAAAGCTGACTTGAGTATAATGCGGCATTCCCTTTACTCTATACACGACAAGGACTTTTGTGAGACTTAATAAGCTTGACTTGCTAGTATCGGAACTATTTCTTGCACGTTTATTTGCCAAAGTTCTTCAACGGTTCGGCGCCCGTGATTCATTCGCAATCGTATGCTGCGAATGCTGCATTATACTAAAGCCAGCCTTTCGACATAAGCTACTATTCCATACGAACACAGATATAAATGATAGAGCTCTGGATATAAGCATGTACATTAGAGTGGTGCAGTATTTGATATTTGTAATGTCTACACCAACTTTCAATTTTTTACAGCAACCAATACAGGGTACTCAATGACCTTGAAATGCGCTACTGGATCGCTGTGAAACTGGAAAAAATGTTGGTGATTTTTATGAAAAGCTACTGTTGCCATGACAACTGAAGCTTGCTATATTTTTTATGGCGTTTTCTTTTCTCGAAATAATGTTACCCTTCGGCAGGGCTGTCTAGTTTTCGTGTTGTTTTATCAGCATCTTCACAAGCAAATCGCGTGCTCTTTCCTTAAAATGTTGCACTCTGATAATGTTGCCATATATAATAAGGTAACATTTTTTTGAGAAAAGAAAAATTAGATAATTTAAATTTTAAATGTTCTTAGGTTGCTTAACCTATTCCAACACCAATACTTCTAGAGTAATATATGAGTATCATGAGCATCCTCTAAATTTATACTTAGAAACGTAAAGTTTGGTACCAGCACCTCTTTCGGCAAGAGGAAAAATTTTGGAAGGTGCCCCAAACCAACAATAACACCCTAAACATTAAAAGAAAACAAGATTAAAAAGTCAAACAATTTATAAAAAATAAAAAATAAAACAAATTTCTAAAAATTTTAAAATATATTTTTCTCTTTAAAACAATAAAATCTAAAAAATAGAGAAAATTTAACTAAACAAGGAAAATATTTAATTCAAAAAAGAAAAAAAATAAGTTCCCAAACATTAAATAAACTTACAAAAAATATCTTTAAAACAATAATATCTAAACATTAAAAGAAAATTGGATTAGGAAAGAAAAATAATATTTAAAAAGATTTAAAAAAAAAAAAAAATCGCAGCCCGTGGACTTCATTGGCAAGCCTCTGCTTTGCTCACTCGAACATTGCGACCGTTGGAACAACGCGATCAAAATTGAGCTAACTCAAAATTCAGATCGGGAAATATAATTGCTTGCGGATCGTACAGATTCAGCACAATTAATACAAAAACAGGTGTGACAGTAGATTTTTAGTTAGTGTTGATTTATGCAAAAAAAAATGTCCAATTTTTTTTTTTTTTAGTTGATCGTACTTTGGTATTAGGTGTGCGATATGTGCAAGCACTTTCCCTCCAAATAACTTAACCACGATTGGTGAATGAGAGAGATATTTAGGACGTTGGTGCTAGTATAACAAAAACCTTTCGAACTAGTATGTATCTTGCCATCGGTCTTTCATTTGTCTTACGAAAGACTTTCTACTATCGTAACCAGAATTACCTTGTAAATCTTTATGACTGCTTTATTAAGATTTAATAAGGATTATATGTACATGGATTAGAGAAGTATTAGAGACATTTACCACTGTTCAGTTGTAAGAGTATTTTTTTTTTTTTTAGTTTTCAGTTGTGCCGTTATTGCAGAGAATCATCGATATGTACCCAAATACATGCATATACACATGTACAAATGTATTAATTCTTCAAAAATACATTAATTTGTCACCCAGTTGAAAATAGCTAAATGAGAAATTCGGTGCCTTTTATGTCCAAAACTTTTTAACGTTTTCTAGCGTACGAGAAATAATTTATTAATAATTTTCGATAAAACGATAAGAGCTAAAACAAGTTATTTTTAGCAAAAAAAACGACTTCAACTCTCATATATAAAAAAAAATATATATATATATATATATCTCATGATCCACTGATCGGGTCTTAACCAGATTAGTATGGGACCACCTCTGAGACACTACCTTTCCGATGCAAAAAGAACTATCGAAATCGGTTGACGTGGTCCAAAGATATACGGTAACATACATCAAAAAAATAAAAATAAAAAAAAAATAATAAAAAATAAAATAAAAAATAAAATAAAAAAATTATAAGAAAATATTCCGACGAACTGATAACCTCCTCCTTTTTTGGAAGTCGGTTAAAAAGGGAATTAATGCTTATGTAAATGAAATATGTAATTGAAAAATTGTGGGAAGTTAAATTTCACTTGTGGAACGTAATAATCGCTCCCAACCGTCACACTTACTAGCTTTTTTAAGAGTGACAAAATCTTCACAGCTTAGGTAAAATTTCTTCTCTACAAATTTTGCATAATTTATTTACACACTTGTCTAATTAGCAAAACAGCAAACAGCTTTGTAATGCATTTTTAATTAAATGA